GACCCCAAACAAATGTTTTATGTATAATTAATCTGAAATTTGAAAATTATATATAAAAAACAAAACAAACAAAACTTGAACATTTTAAGAATAAAACTTACTTTTCGAAAACTCCAGTATAAAACTCAGGGCTTCTTAGTCGGGAGTGTTTCAAAATTCTCATTCTAAGAAATTGCCAAATTACAAAAAAAAAAAAGTTAATTTTTCCTCCACATAAGTTAAAGACAAAACAGGTTCCAGAGGATGTATGGAATGAATAATGATAATCTGAGTATTGTGATTATGTTTGGTGATGAATGTTTAGTAGGCAATTATTCACACATTGACTAATGTATGCTTTATAATGGTTGTCAGCTACACAGATGGTTGTAAATTGTCTATATGGTTGTAAATTGTCTATATGGTTGTGGGCTACACAGATGGTTGTAAATTGTCTATATGGTTGTAAACTACACAGATGGTTGTAAATTGTCTATATGGTTGTGGGCTACACAGATGGTTGTAAATTGTCTATATGGTTGTAAACTACACAGATGGTTGTAAATTGTCTATATGGTTGTGGGCTACACAGATGGTTGTAAATTGTCTATATGGTTGTAAACTACACAGATGGTTGTAAATTGTCTATATGGTTGTGGGCTACACAGATGGTTGTAAATTGTCTATATGGTTGTAAACTACACAGATGGTTGTAAATTGTCTATATGGTTGTGGGCTACACAGATGGTTGTAAATTGTCTATATGGTTGTAAGCTATATATAGTAGGCTATATACAAACATACAGATGTGATCTATACATGTATATACATTGTGATACACAGTATAAACAATATATACAGTTGTCAATTATAGGAAGTGTATACTGAGACAATATCTGTGGGTGTCTTGTTAAGTTTGGCTCGTAGGTCAAAACATGTAAAAAATATCTGTGGGTGTCTTGTTAAGTTTGGCTCGTAGGTCAAAACATGTAAAAAATATCTGTGGGTGTCTTGTTAAGTTTGGCTCGTAGGTCAAAACATGTAAAAAATATCTGTGGGTGTCTTGTTAAGTTTGGCTCGTAGGTCAAAACATGTAAAAAATATCTGTGGGTGTCTTGTTAAGTTTGGCTCGTAGGTCAAAACATGTAAAAAATATCTGTGGGTGTCTTGTAAAGTTTGGCTTGAAGATCAAACAAGTAAAACACTATCTCCTAATATAACACAACCCCTACACTACATGATTTGGTGATTTGGGAGCCTGAAGAATCAGAGTGGATATACCCATAGCACCTTCAGCAAAAGATCGTCACAGTGAATCCTGGTACATGATGTATCATCCAGGAAAATCACATGTTTGTTTACAAATAAACAGTCATCTTCTCTCAGACTTGATCCTCAGAAAAAATCATTATATGTATAATTTTAACTTAATGGGATTAAATAGTAAGAAATATGTCGCCAGTTTTTATTTTTTGTTATTGGGACATTGGATATTTGTTTATTTCTGTTTTAGTTTTTGTCAAACATTTTCAACTGAATAATAAGCAATTTAATTTATAATACTGATATTTTTCTTTTGAATTTTCAAGAAGTGTTTTCGTGCATGTAATATCTGAAATGTGATAATTTTGAACTACAGGGCGTAAGCTATTTTGTTAGTTAATTTGATAATATGTTAATATCACTCATTCAAATTTTATCTCAATTAAATTGATACTTATAAGCTAGTCAAATTCAATACACCTGATCCAGTGTTGTATAAGTAAAGACGCCATGCCATGTGTTCATTAGGCACTACACATATCAACACCAGAAACAACGTTAAGTGACCTATTTTGGCTTTACTTGTGACTTGTGAAACTACTGGACTAGCCGTCCAACTGATTATCAGCTTGGTTATTCTACACTAGACAATTTACTCTCTGTCAGTATTAACGTATCTAACTCTGCTGTACATTTTACTTTGAATGCTGTATACAGACAGATTTTCACAGTAAACCTGTGTAACTCTACACGATTATCTCAGTATATAAGGTGTAATACGTATCAGGTCAGGTTAGAAGATTTTACACACTACAGATGTAGTAATATCATAACCACATATTAATTAACACTGTACTTGTATTTATATACATAAATAATATACAACAAAGTTCTTGAACACTTTGACAAATACACCTCAAATACTTTGGTTGTTTAAAATTTTCTTACACAATCACCAGTTAAGGATTGTCTTAAGATTTGTGTCTTCACTTTATAAACAGCACGAGTAATTGAGTAAAAGGAAAAAATGAGAAAAAGAATGTCTATGATAAAATATGAATGAAAATTCAAACAGGTTTGTTTTACGACGTACCTCAAGTAATGGTGGTTAAAAAGTCCAACAGAATTTTTGGCGTGATGTTTTTATCAAAACTGACAAACATTATGTGATGGTATATTAACAAGATACAACAAGCCTATTGGAATTGGCAAAAAACTCTCAACATATCACAGACGGTTTGGTGCATGTGTTATATATATGGCAAACAAATGATTGGTCCATCACTTATCACTGTGACGTTACCAAACTTGGATAATACCTAAATGCAGATAAATCCTGTCAATTGAAATGAGTTGTAACTAAGGATGATCTTTCTATGACAAAAACCTGGTCAGCTCCTGTTTAACTTAAAGGATGACCTTTCTATGACAAAAACCTGGTCAGCTCCTGTTTAACTTAAAGGATGATCGTTCTATGACAAAAACCTAGTCAGCTCCTGTTTAACTTAAAGGATGATCTTTCTATGACAAAAACCTAGTCAGCTCCTGTTTAACTTAAAGGATGATCGTTCTATGACAAAAACCTAGTCAGCTCCTGTTTAACTTAAAGGATGATCTTTCAACGATGATCTTTCCATAACCCAAGCTTAAAGTTGGATCTGTTGTAACAAAGGATGATTCTTTCTATGCCCTAAGTTAAGCCAGCTCAGTTGTAACTAAAGACAATCTTGCTATGCCTTAAGTTAAGCCAGCTCAGTCGTAACTAAAGAAATCTTTCTATGTCATATGTTTAGTCAGTTGTAACTAAGGACACTCTTTCTATGCCCTAAGTTAAGTCAGTTGTAACTAAGGACAATTTTTTTTCTATGCCCTTAGTTAAGTCAGTTGTAACAAAAGACAATCTTTCTATGCCCTAAGTTAAGTCAGTTGTAACTAAGGACAATCTTTCTATGTCCTATGTTTAGTCAGTTGTAACTAAGGACACTCTTTCTATGCCCTAAGTTAAGTCAGTTGTAACTAAGGACAATCTTTCTATGTCCTATGTTTAGTCAGTTGTAACTAAGGACACTCTTTCTATGTCCTATGTTAAGTCAGTTGTAACTAAAGACAATCTTGCTATGCCTTAAGTTAAGCCAGCTCAGTCGTAACTAAAGACAATCTTTATATGTCCTATGTTAAGTCAGTTGTAATTAAAGACAATATTTCTATGTCCTATGTTTAGTCAGTTGTAACTAAGGACAATCTTTCTATGCCCTAAGTTAAGTCAGTTGTAATTAAAGACAATATTTCTATGTCCTATGTTTAGTCAGTTGTAACTAAGGACACTCTTTCTATGCCCTAAGTTAAGTCAGTTGTAACTAAAGACAATTTTTCTATGTCCTAAGTTAAGTCAGTTGTAATTAAAGACAATCTTTCTATGCCCTATGTTTAGTCAGTTGTAACTAAGGACAATATTTCTATGTCCTATGTTTAGTCAGTTGTAACTAAAGACAATCTTTCTATGCCCTCAGTTAAGTCAGTTGTAACTAAGGACAATATTTCTATGTCCTAAGTTAAGTCAGTTGTAACTAAGGCCAATATTTCTATGTCCTAAGTTAAGTCAGTTGTAACTAAGGACAATTTTTTTTCTATGCCCTTAGTTAAGTCAGTTGTAACTAAAGACAATTTTTCTATACCCTATGTTAAGTCAGTTGTAACTAAGGACACTCTTTCTATGGCCTAAGTTAAGTCAGTTGTAACTAAAAACAATCTTTCTATACCCTAAGTTAAGTCAGTTGTAACTAAGGACAATATTTCTATGTCCTAAGTTAAGTCAGTTGTAACTAAGGACAATTTTTCTATGCCCTAAGTTAAGTCAGTTGTAACTAAGGACAATTTTTTTTCTATGCCCTTAGTTAAGTCAGTTGTAACTAAAGACAATTTTTCTATACCCTATGTTAAGTCAGTTGTAACTAAGGACACTCTTTCTATGGCCTAAGTTAAGTCAGTTGTAACTAAAAACAATCTTTCTATACCCTAAGTTAAGTCAGTTGTAACTAAGGACAATATTTCTATGTCCTAAGTTAAGTCAGTTGTAACTAAGGACAATTTTTTTTCTATGCCCTTAGTTAAGTCAGTTGTAACTAAAGACAATTTTTCTATACCCTATGTTAAGTCAGTTGTAACTAAGGACACTCTTTCTATGGCCTAAGTTAAGTCAGTTGTAACTAAAAACAATCTTTCTATACCCTAAGTTAAGTCAGTTGTAACTAAGGACAATATTTCTATGTCCTAAGTTAAGTCAGTTGTAACTAAGGACACTCTTTCTATGCCCTAAGTTAAGTCAGTTGTAACTAAGGACAATATTTCTATGTCCTAAGTTAAGTCAGTTGTAACTAAGGACAATTTTTCTATACCCTAAGTTAAGTCAGTTGTAATTAAAGACAATCTTTCTATGGCCTAAGTTAAGTCAGTTGTAACTAAGGACACTCTTTCTATGGCCTAAGTTAAGTCAGTTGTAACTAAGGATAATCTTTCTATGGCCTAAGTTAAGTCAGTTGTAACTAAGGACAATCTTTCTATGTCCTATGTTTAGTCAGCTGTAACTAAGGACAATCTTTCTATGGCCTAAGTTAAGTCAGTTGTAACTAAGGACACTCTTTCTATGCCCTAAGATAAGTCAGTTGTAACTAAGTATAATCTTTCTATGGCCTAAGTTAAGTCAGATGTAACTGAGGACACTCTTTCTATGGCCTAAGTTAAGTCAGTTGTCACTAAGGACAATCTTTATATGTCCTATGTTTAGTCAGCTGTAACTAAGGACAATCTTTCTATGGCCTAAGTTAAGTCAGTTGTAACTAAGGACAATCTTTCTATGTCCTATGTTTAGTCAGGTCCACATAAACTGTCCAATCCTAGTTTATATTCACCTCCAATGTCATCGAGGCCTGCCTACATTCTGTGATACTCTGCCTCTATACCGGTCGACTAGAACATTTGACTTGCATGGTTCCGTGCTGACTAAGCTTACATGCATTGCTCAATATTACTGTACTTGTATTAAATAACTTGAACAACGATAAACTACAATGATTGGCCATAGTTACCCTATAAACACCATACATCTACATGCACCTTCTAATTTTGACAGTAAACGTGTCTTTGTCATAAAATCAACATAGATAAGGGCCTGGCAATTTCTGAAATCATACAAGTACGACCATTTTCCTGATTTGACCGATTTCTTTTCTGAGTTGATCTTCGAGAAGTTTGCGTTTCCCTTCCATGACTGTTTTCATATTGCTGATGCTCTCATGTACGGTAGAGAAACCTTCCCTCGTCTCGCGCTTTAACCGTCCAAATTCCTCCGCATTCGTCTTTATATGGTTGTCCAACTTCAGCATTAGCTTGGACTCAAGTTGCTGGATGAGAAAATAATTGAAATATTTGACTGTCAAGTTACTACAAGCAATGACATCATACATTAACATACACATACTATAAAATATATTCTCTGAAATGTAAAACTAAAACGAGTAATACAAATTTGGTTTTTAGAATACTATCAACAAGACAATCCATCAGGCAGATCGTTTATGATTTCTCTATTTACCAAGCTGTACACCTACCTCAGGATAGAGTGACATACGTACTCTGCACCCTACCAGCCAAGAAATGCATGCACATCAAATCTGGCTACTCCAGGTGATGGTTACTCCACCAGGTGATGGTTACTCCACCAGGTGATGGTTACTCCACCAGGTGATGGTAACTCCACCAGGTGATGGTTACTCCAGGTGAAATAGTATAGAATATAAGCTCCAGACAAACTTTTTCAAAGGTTGAGGTCAAAGGTCAAACAATTGGTCCCATTGACCTACTTGTACACCGTACTCCGCATTCCAAAGATGTATATGCATACCAAATCTGGTAACTCCAGGCTAAATAGTACAGAAGATTCTAATAACATGCTGGATGGAGTTCGTTGATGCCTATCTACTGGCTCTGCCTGATTACTTACGTGTTGGAGATCAGTGATGCGTGCCCTCTCCTCATGAAGCCCCTCCTCTAACTTTGCTAGTCGTGCATCTGTGACGTAGTGATTCTCGTCCATCCGCCGCTCCACTTTTTCCTGACAAGATAAATAAGGAATACATTTAGTTAGCCTGACTGGGGACACAAAGCTTTGAACTTTAATAAAGAAATACCGCATAAAACAATCAGAATTAAGATTTAATGTAAACGTGAAGAAATGTTAATATGAAATATCCTTTAAAAGATCAACAGTAGAGTTTTCATGCATGTTGTTAGAAGTCTGAAATACTGATTAACTATAACAAAGCAAATGAACAGACAAAGGGAAATTATCTAAATATTTGCATCAAAAAGACTGCACTAATTTTTTGATTAACTGTGTGAAAACCATAATCGTTCAACTGGGGGTAACTTGCATATGTGTGTATTACACCTTACTCTTCAAAGTTTTGATAAAGCATTCGTGTGTACATGTGTGTATTAGCCAATTACACCTTACCCTTCAAAATTTTAATAAAGCATTTGTGTGTTTATGTTTTTTGCATGCCTAATCAAAACTTGAGTGGAATGTCCTATGAATCTTTGACCTTGTTGTTATTCTTGTGGCAGCTACCAGTAACAACATTGTAAATATGATGTTTAGATGCATAACACAGGTGTAAACAGACAAAGCGTGTACTAAGGTGTAAACAGACAAAGCGTCTACTAAGGTGTAAACAGACAAAGCGTTACTAAGGTGTAAACAGACAAAGCGTTACTAAGTTGTAAACAGACAAAGCGTTACTAAGGTGTAAACAGACAAAGCGTTACTAAGGTGTAAACAGACAAAGCGTTACTAAGGTGTAAACAGACAAAGCGTTACTAAGGTGTAAACAGACAAAG